AAAACCCTCTGAATGTTCCTGCTTCTCACATTGTCTCGAAAAAAAAATCTCACTCCTTTCTTGGATTACTGCTTTTTAAGGCTTAATACAAAGCCAGATCCTGATGTGATGCTCTGGGAAAAGCCTGCCCCAGGGTTCATTCCAAGATAATAGGATATGAATTACAAACTGGATAAACAGCACTAAGTGACACCACAATCCCCTCAAAGTGTCTCCAGTGATCTACGGCTGCCTTTAAGGGTTTTTTCCCTTCTGTGCAGATGGGTATTTCCCAGCACAGCTCTACCGTTACTTGAGCAAACTCCCTGGAGAATCAGCTTGGGGGGGGGGGGGGAGAGGGCGAGTGGAGAGAAAAAGACAGTGAGAGGAGGAAGCAGATGAAAAGTGGGGGGAAAGATAGAGGGGGGGGAGAAAAAGAAGAGGTAGGAACAAGTTGATGCATGAGAGGCTGGGAAGGAAGGGAAGAGAGAGTGGAAAAGACTGAGTGAGTGGAAGGGGGCTGACTGGATGGAGAGAGAGAGAGAGCACGTAACAGACATGGGAAGGGAGAAATGGATTGCTACATCATTTTCCTCAAGTGAAATGATATTCTGCATTAACACAAACACCCCTGACAAAGCCCCTGGAGCCCATGTGCAGGGAAACATGGCCAAATATTTCATAACTATTTCAGCGAGAGGGGCTGCAGGAACTCTAGTGATGCAAAGGCAGTGACAGAGCAAAGGCTTCTTCTAACATATTATGCACAAAACCTGCATGTTCAAGGCTGCAAGGGGAATGCAAAGAGCAGCATAAATATAGCACGGAGCCAGCTTTTTGTAATCAAATCCATTAAATCATATCAACCTGCTCACAAGAAATAATCCAGGAGGTAATAATGAAACAGCCACTAATATAGTCTGGTTGTTCTTCGTCCCAAGTGTGAGATGCAAAACAGACTATATTCTAGAGCAGAACCCTCATAAAGAGAACGGACTAATCCAGTGTCACATTGAGCAGCTTAGACCTTTCACAGATAGACTCAGATCGCCCTGTTCCAAAGGTACCAGACCCGATGTATAAGCTAACAGGGACTCTCCATTAGCTATTAGCAATACAGAGCCTAAGACACACAGTGCAGCAGCTCTGATTCCATCCACAGGAGGGCAGTGCTGCCCATGCAAACTAGCTAATTCACCACACTGTTCAAAATTACTGATTAAAAAAAAATAGCTGCAGTTACCCTCTCTCGATATACACTGTCCCATCTGCAAACACTGACATTGAGATACCGTTGCATTCAGGCCTGAACTCACAACTTCCATCGTGGTTTATCATCACCTGCTGCAACCCCCATGACAGGGACCATTGACTTAGCATTGGATACAAAAACCTCCTTGCATATTTGCAAATCTACTGTCAGCTAAAAACAAATGTGCAGGATGGCTCAAAGGCCAGCACCTCAATGCTACCATCAGTCCAATTCATTCTGCTGAGAAACTGTCAGTCAGAGGCAGCTTGTACCACCTACTTCTGGGAAATCCAATCAGTAAGCCCAAACTGATGGAGAGGTGGAGCTGAGGTTCCTCAAGTCATTTGGAAATGCTCAGCCTGGAGTACTTATTGCTGTCATCAACTGCAAAAATAGAATAGTTTGTACTTAAGTAAGCACCTTTCGTTGAGGGTCTCAAAACCCTTAACATACATATTAGAGTTAGGTATTATTAACAACACACTTGAATGCATTATGTTTCATAACCATCCTCCTCGTATGATGTGGGTAAATGTGAATTATCCCCATTTCATAGATGGAGAAACTGAGGCTCAGGCAAGGGAAGAAAGTTGCCCAGTGTCAAAATAAAGCCTGGAGTTCTCTGCTCCACCTACCGATGACACTACCGTGGGTGTACCAAAAACACATGAAGAACAACACTCAGCTGAGTGAATGTCTGAGCTGCTCACTGGTGTAAGTAGTGCTCAGGTCACACTGTACAGACTGCAACCCATGGCCTGTGTTTGAGGACCCAACAGTGCAAGATTGATGCTGCAGCAACCACCACTTTCCACTTCTGTTGTTCCTGTCATCTGAGAATGTGAGGCTCTTTATAAACATGAATTAATTCTCACAATATCCCCACAAGGAAGGAAAGGGGAATATAAAGATGGTTTCACCCCCCACTGAAATGCAGCCATCTCTGGGGTGGAACATAGCGACTGTTTAACAAACTAAACAACATGGGAGTTAATGAAGTTAATGGCAGTTAATGAAGAGGAATCTTGTATCCAACTGAAACTCTAGAGGGAATTTAATGAGGCACAATGGAATAACTTGGGCTGGAATGTGACGTGGACACCAGCACTTGAGCAAAGTGTCATGGGACCTCTAATGACAATAACCATCAGTACCTCAGCTTTCTGAGACAGCAGCAGCTCATCTCATTACTCTCGATGTAGTCCTCCCAAAGATTCCCTCTCCCCACTTGATACAGACTCAAGAAGCAAGAGTGCCACCTATAATGTCACAAACAACACCTTCTGCAACATCAGAGGTTTACCAACCAAATACCAACCCAGGCCCAACCCTGCTCAGCTTGTGAAGAATCCTAGCATGAGGGATGGCTGACGTCTTTGGAGGTGGGTGGGGGGAACCTACCCTGGATTTGTGTTTCTTCCAAGAACCATGAAGCCAGAGAAGTAGGACCATGTTCCATTAGCAGCACCACAATTGAGCCTGTTCTCAAACAAAAAGTGCCAGCTCTCTCCACTGAACTTATTAGGCAACTTTCAAAGTTCTAGTATTGTATAATTTACAGATGCACCTGAGAAAGAGGGAGAGACACCTATCATAGAGGCTCTATTGTGTATCGGATCTATGTGTCAGCATGAAACAAACACTGCACAGTACAGAGGGAGATGACAAAGCTCGAGTGAGTGACTGAAAATTATATTCCACTGATACATGGAGCGTCTGTGTGTCTATTTATGTTTCTCAGTCTTGTCATTTGTCTCGCTCACTCTCCCCAGATTTTCTGCTGGTGACATCTCATTACAGTGCCGCTCAATGGAAAAGAGGCTCCAGAATAGAGGGCAGGGGGCTGAGATCTGGGGAGAGGGATTTCCTCTTACTCCATGAGAGTCTGCACTCCTTGGGCAGATACTTTCTGAGACTGCCCCGAAGGCTGCTCTTGCAAAGGGGAAATGGCGCAGAGGACACACTGGATAGTTCACTTGCCATGGATGTACTGGCAATTAGAATTCTAAAAGGTAGTGCTAGAGAGAAAGAATCTAGACTAAAGAAAAACTGATAAACGGAGAGAGAGAAAGGAGAGAGATAAAAAAGATAGAGCAGGAGAGACACACACAGATTGAGAGAGAGATTAAATATAAAGAGTACAGAGAACCAGGCATGATCTGAAATTTGTTACTCAGAGCAAGGAGCACCATCAGGTCCCATAGAGCTGGCACTAGCCCCCAGCACTTGACTTCTGAGACAGAGGCCTTTAAATTCTGCTGCCTGTTGACTCTAAGGGGTGTCAAGCCCTGGGCCCCTCATGCCCCACTGGCTTGGTTGGTGCTTCATGTGGCCTAACACAACAGTCAGATTCTGAAGAATCCCAGCTTTAGTCTTAAAAACCAAAAATAAATTAAAACCCTTATATTGCATAGAAAATATCCCAAATGTGACCCAAGTCTAACCGAGGTCTGCACAGAGCCTGAAACAGTGCGCTGGTCCGCCATGAATTTCACTGAGTTGTTAGTTCTAAACCCTAATGATGGGTCTTTAATAATGTCAGTATTAACTATTTCACTGCTGCACATTTTAGAAGATGGAGTGGTAGAGAGAGAGGGAGGTGGCTACAGGCAGGCAAATATCATATGTATAGCTGGCAGCTCCCTCCTTTCTTGGGCATGTCAATTCAAACACACAGAAACCTGGGAGATCCAAGTTGGCGTCACATAATTTCCCTCCTCATACTACCAATGCTTCCTGCCACATCTGCAGTTGACATGATCCCCATCATTGGAGGTTTTAAGGACAGGTTAGACAAACACTTGACAGGGATGGTCTAGGTATGGCTTGGTCCGGTCTCAGTGCAGAGGGATGAACCAGATGACCTCTTGTGGTCCCTTCCAACCCTACATTTCTATGATTCTTTGACATGTCATTCTGCTGAGCAAGAGCCCCCCACCACATACACGCCTCACCACTCCAGAATCATTGCAGTCTCTGTACCAACCACTCTGGCTCCTGCAGCACAGCATACCCACTTTGCTCAGTATCACTTGAGCCATCGGTTACCACCAGGATTTGCCCACTTCCAGGACCTGCCCACTAAGGGCTGGAAAATTTGCCATGATATGTATGTACATGATTATGGTGTGCCACCCTCAACCCCTCTGAATCACATACCATGTTCAACTACAGAAATATCTACACAAGAGTCACAGAAATACCTGCCAAAGGCTACACAATGTCCACAAAGAGCATGGATGGATGCAGATCCAAGTGTATCCTCTCTTGAAAAGTTCCCCCTCCTTTTGTAATACCTGCTATTTGGTGCAAGCCAGTTCTTGTCAAAGGCAAAGGATGTGCTATTCAGACACATAAGAGAGTTTGCATAGCCACTGACAGAAAAATTCTCTCGGTCTCTTTTTCAAGTCCTCCCTCCAGCATGTCAGCATCAGACATATCCACCCTGGACATATGACTATTCCATATCCACAGTAATTCCCATCCTAGAAGGTGGCCACTGAAACATTCACCACAGAGAGTCGACGTAATGTTTGCAGAGGGTGCCCACGAGCAGCACCCACCATGGGCCACCCCCATAATGTCCCACATCAATTCCTGTTGTGCTCACAGCAATACCAGCCACAGATCCTACACACAGTGTAAATTCACAAGACACCCTCATCTCAGGATACAAATCTAGATCAGAAAAGCAGTGGCATGATCCAGATTGCTCTAGGCACAGCATTATTACAAAGGATCAGGAGTAGAGGAAGCCCACAGAACTTACCACTTTGAAGTCCTCTGGGTTGCATTCCATTCCACGGAAGAAGCAGGACAGCAGCATCTCCCGGATATCATGGCCAGCCCGATCATAAAACTCCAGCATGTTGAAGGGCTTTGGCTTGAAGTTTCGGAAGTTGGCCTTATCGTGTAGGATCTCCAGCTGCTTCTCATCAGCCATCTGGGTGTCTGGGATCTCATACCTGGGAAAACAGGGCACAGAGACTTCTTAATCCTTGTTGGAGCGAGTCCTGTCCTCGCATATACAGGTGCAACTCCCACCAAGCTAATCTCTGCTCTTAATGTCACCGATTACTTCAAAGGAGTTATTTCCACATTGACACCAATGTCATCAGTGATAGCAGAGCTGGCCCACTAACTTAAGTGGGATGTCTATAATTGAAGGACAGAATGTAACCTTGTAGTACAGCACCAATGCCCAGCATCCAGGCACCTCCAGTACTGACACAAGACTGTGTCTCCTCTGCTGTAGAATAACACAGCACCCTTCAGCACTGAGATATGCCTGTGTCCCTTGTGCTACAATATAGCACAGGGCCTAGGCCCAAATGCCAAGTTTTGTGCTGCTCCATGCGTGACATTTTAAGAACATTTTTTAATCACACGAATTGCATATTTGCAAATAATTTCCATAGAACCATAAATTTCAGCATATGACAATGCACCTTGCCCCAAGTAGGGTGATCAGCCATGGGAAGGGCTTACCAAGGGTCATAGTGGATTGTCCATCACTGGCAGTGTTTAAATCAAGTCTGGATGTTTTCTAAAAGAGGCGAGGTGAGACCAGATGATCACAGTGGTCCCTTTTGGCAGGCCATGGAGCTGCACAACACGTGCCAGCTGTGATGGGTGCCTGTGAGGAGGGGATGGTGGGTGCTGGTGATAGCTGAAGGTGCTGGGGGCACTGGCAGCATGGGTGCTGGGGTAGGAGGCCTGGCCATGCTGGGGTAGCTGGAGGTGGAGTCTAGTGCACTTTGCCCACCCACAGCACTTTTCCACTAAGCATCTCAAAGTGATGTATAGCAGTAACTAACAAGGATAAAAAATAAAAAATCCTCCATATCTGTTGGCCCAGAACAATCTCAAACCAAGATCTATTTACATGGTGCAGCCAAGAGGATCTGAGCACCATCATTGCCAAGAGGCACTGGACACGGATTGGTCATGTGCTTCGGATGGCAACTGATTCCATCACCAGAGTAGCAATAAGATGGACACTTGAAGACAAGCGAAAACAAGGCCACCGGAAAACATCATGGCGAAGAGCTGTGGAAGCTGAGCTGAAAAACCTGGGGCACAGCTGGGGAACCATTGAAAGACTTGCCAGAAATAGACAGGAGTGGAGGAGCTTCATCACTACCCTAAACGCCAGAGGTGGAATGGAAACACGATGATGATGATGAAGAAGGATAAGCAGGGGTCAATCGTTCACCACTGATACACAGCCAATCTGCATTTCATCATAGGAAGCCATGACACTGGGCTAGATGGACCACTGGTCTGACCCAGCCTGGCCATTCTTATGTTCTCATGTTGCACCTCTCGGGCAGCATGACAGCTGCCTAACAACAGACTTGCTAAACAAAAGGCTAGGACAGGAAATGAGGAAGAAAACTACATCTGACTGAGAAGGGGGGGTTGTGGAGAAAGAGTTAGGGATGCTGAAAGTAACTATCAGAAACGTAAATGGCCAGGGCACAGGTTTTACCACCCTCTTACAACCACCAGCATGGGATCTTTTCATTTAATCTGAGCATCCTTCTAGGACTATACTGGGGCACCGGCTCAATACTAACTCAGAGGGAAGGCTGCCCTCTACTGAATCACCAGCATCTCTCCCTGCAGCTCTGGAGCGAGTCAGTCCAACCTGGCTTAGCTTGTGCGATCTGACAGGCTGGCAGGAGGTGCTGATACAACTGCAGGCAAAACAGGTTTTGCCAACCTACTTTAAGGTGCAGCCTGTGTGTGTCTCCATGCCCCCTTCCTTCCCGTCTTATAACTCATTCACTTACTCATCCTAATCGCACAGCCTTTCTTTTATTCAGTAGATGAAAATGTCTTTCCTCTGTTGCCTTGGGTCCAGATCCTGCTCCCATTTTTATGTCGGTGTGAGTTTCCCTGTTGACTTTAGTGGGAGCAGGATGGGCAGGGCCGGCTCCAGGCACAGGCGAAGGAAGCAGATGCTTGGGGCAGCCAATGGAAAGGGGCAGCACGTCCGGGTCTTCGGCGGCAATTCGGCGGCGGGTCCCTCAGTCCCTCTCTTCCTCTTTGAGCTGCCGCCGAAGTGCCGCCGAAGAGGAAGAGAGGGAGCGAAGGACCGCCGCCGAATGGAGCAGCACGATTGAGGTGCCACCGGTCAGCTTTATCTTTTTTTTTCCGCTTCGCCGCTTCGGGCGGCAAAAAAGCTGGAGCCGGCCCTAAGGACGGGGCATTTATTTGCATGTACTAGGACCTGCTTGAACATTGACTGAGGATTCACACAACAGATTGGATCAAATCTGCAGCCACTTTGGGCTTGTCTACACAGTGCAGCAAAGTGCTCTACAGAGGTATTGTTTGGAGAGAGCTCTAACATGTTGCACTCCAACTGCCCCAGGTAGATCCTGCTGGCACACTAACATGAAACTTTTAGAGTGTGCCAGCAGGGTCTACAAAGAGCAGTTGGAGCACAACACATTGGAGTGCTCTACAGATCACACTCCTGTACAGCACTTTGTCACACCGTGTAGACAAGCTCTTAGGGTTTCATGTTTGTGCCTCTGCTGCACACAGTGGCCACAAGGATCTTCACAGCAACAGCCAGGGTATTACTCCAAAAGCGAAGACCCATGATATCAGCTCTTAGCAGTACAGGGCCTAGGACACACAGCTGAGCAGTTCTGATTCTATCCAACAGAAGGCAATGCTGCACGCGTGTGCACACACACACACCAGTGGCTGTCACATTCTGCAGTGACGTGCACAGGGATCATTAGTTTTCATGCTCTCAGGCATATTACAGAGAGCAGTTACAACAGCAGCCAGCTCATTCAAAGAGCAGGAGCTGCTGCCAGTTTAGAATGGCCAAGAATTGTCACTGACAAAGGCTGGGGACTGGGCAGGGAGCTGCCACCAACACAGCACAGATGCTGGATAACACTGACAAGCCTGGAAGTGGAAAGCAAATGCTTAATGGGAAGAATTGATAGTGACCCATGTAAAGAGCAACAGAGGGTCCTGTGGCACCTTTAAGATTAACAGAAGTATTGGGAGCATAAGCTTTCATGGGTAAGAACCTCACTTCTTCAGGGCTCTGTACCAACATGGGGAAAATCCAGTGGCACTTGGACTGAATGCTAATATGGGGAAAGTGCATAAGAGCCCTTGGGTCCCATACTAATGTTTGGCAGAAGCATCTATGGGAGTCCTTTCCTACACAGTGTGGGCGTCCAGGCATTATATCATGGGCACTTCCTCACTGTCCCAGCCCCAGCTGGCCAAGGGAGTTTACATCTCCCTAAAGTATAGATAAAAACACTATTGCCATCTGTCCTGCCATCTCCTTGTGGTACTTTGGATCTGCCTGCATGTGCCACTCATCCTGTGGACAAAGAGACTCGCCAATATGTGCAGAGCTGTTTTGCTTTCCTGCAACCGACCATCCATGTGGGGCATGGGGTGCAGGAAAGCAATCCATGCCACACCCTCCCCTAATATACCCACCAGGTCTACCAGCCAAGCACCCAGGGTAGCACTAGCATCTGAGCCTCAGCCTGAGGAGCAGTGTGTTAACGGGATCACTTTGGGCTCCTGCTCTCAGTCTTTTCCTTTGTTGGCAGATGCCAGGAGGACCCCAGGCCAGATTCAGCTGTGGCTGTTGACTTCATTGGGGTTGTGCCCATCCGTGCCAGGGCTGTACTCACCCATCATCTCATCTTTCACTTGCATACACACAAAAGAAGTCCTTATTATAGCAGTCTTAGCACAGGGCTGCTGAGGCTGCCCACGTTGGTGTGCCACCACCTCCCCTCCCCAGCTACTCACACAAGTGGCAGTTCTTTTTTCCCATTGGAAAGTGCCATTTTTCCCAAGTGCCAGCGGTGGGGTGGGCATGAATGTGATCAGGGTATGAATGTTATCTTGGGCATTCAGGAGCAGACAGGTATGCATTGCAGAGGGAACTGCTTTAGATGCAGAGTATGGGACTAAATTAGGCCTGAATATTTAAATTAGGCCTGAATATTGGGGTATCATATCTCCAGGAATGTATACAGGGAAGTGCACATGTAGTGTGTGTAGGTCCACATGGTGCATGGAGCCATGTGTAGCTTATGCAGGTGCATGGATGTATCTCTAGTGCTAGAGTATCGTGTCTGTCGAACACCTAGGTGCAGATGTGCACACAGTGCCCTGTTGGTTGTGTGCACATAGATGTCAGCACATTCAGATGCATGGTGCTGTACTGTCCCATCTAGATCAGCAGTGCTGAGCTCAGGCAGCACCCTCAGGGCTTGGCTTCCCTGGACCCACCTGTTATTGAGCAGAGCGAGGAGCTCCCCAGCATGGTACAGGTCATTCTTTGTTACACGGCTGAAGCGGAATTCATTGAGGTTGCAGAAAGTGACAGCAGGGAAGGTCAACCTGGTTGTGGCCACTTCATCCAGCTTGGTGACATGAGGGTAGAGGAAGTAGTATTGGATCCTCTCCGTGCAGACATAGGCCAACAGGGCCACAGAGCCCAGGAAGCAGAGAGTCCAGAGGATGCGCTTGAAGGAGAACCTCTCATAGGAGATGATGTGGGACAGGCCATGCAGAGTGGAACTACTGGCAAAGGCCTGGATACTGACTGGATGGCCATTCTCCACCTCCTCCTCGTCCACTTTCAGGTCCATCATAGTCAGGGCTGAGATACAGAGCGGGCCACTCTATGAAGAACAGAGAAGCCCATTACTCCCAGCACGGACAAATGGACAGGCCAGCCTGGATGCTGCTGCTCCTCCCAGGCGAAGGACCTCAGCAGGGACAGCAAAGATGCCATAGCGGGAGAGGCAGTAATGAAAGGTGCATTCCCAGTGGACTCAACATCCCAGGAAATGGAGCGAATGACGGGAATCCTGGGAGAATGCTCCCAGCTGCCTCTGAGGGATTCCATCCCAGGCACTGGGTTTTTGAACACAGTCCCTTGTATTTCTACATCCCTCCCACCCTGTTTCTGTCACTGTGATGTCCATACACCAAACCTAGTTACCATTCTCCCCCAAACTCTTTCACCGGCTTATCAGATCCTCCCCCTTTCCTCCACCTCCCCCCCCACCACACACACAGCACTAGCATGTCAAGAAACAGACCAAAGAAACAAGAATCCAAACCTGAAGGCAGGGTCAGCGTCCAGGGCTGGGTCCACACTGCTCCTGTAGGGCTGGTCCCAGCAGCAAAGAAGACAGGTCCTTGCACTAGGGTGGACCTCCCTCCACCTCTCGCCGTCTGGATGAGAAGAAGGGAGCGAGGGAGACGCATGCACGGAAGGATGTGAGAGTCACAGAGACTGGCAGGTGGAGGAAAACCGGAAAAAGAGGGAGAGAAATAAAAATAATCCTAACCCCTCAAGTATCTTAGGAGGGAAGGTGCGATCCTGTGGGATCTGGGCTGCACCAAGGAGCCTGTTCACTGCAGCTGCTCAGGGAAATCAAAGAAGATCATAGCTGGAAAGGAGGCAGCTGAAGGGAGAGAAGAGCGATTGAGAAAGAGAGCGAGCAAGCGAGCAGGCGTCTGTATCCCTGCCAAACACATGGATACCTCCCCTTGTGGCTATTCAGAAGCTTGTTATTCCTTCAGATGCATAATCCGCATGAATTCATTGTCTCCGTGCTGGTGGGGCCCAAATGGCGAGCGGACGGGTCCTGCAGGGGCTGATGGGGAGCTCAGTGAGAGTGAGCGAGGGAGAGAAAGACAGACCAGGGGAGAGGAGGAGGAGGAGGAGGAGGAGGAGGAGAGCAGCTCTGGAGGTACCGAGGCAGTGATTGCAGTCTGGCTGTGCTGTACTGGCTGGCAGAAGCTGTTGAGGCTGATGCTGTGTGCATGTGGATAATGTGTGTGTAAGACACTCTCCCATCCCCCCTTGCTCTCTTAATCAATGCTCCGCTCCTCTCTCGGCTGATGCCACTGCCTGCCACAAACACACCATGTCCTGGTCAGGGAACAATCCTGCATTGGCTGAGGCATGAATCCGCTGATCTAATAGGTCTTTGCCATACCGTCCCTCCTAGGATTCTCAATCACAATTTTACCAATTCATCCCAAACCCAGTGGCAGAGCCTAGTCTGTAACAGGAGTGTTGCTGTGACCAGAGCAGTCTCTATGCTTTTGCCTCTGTTCAGTCTTTGTGATGGATCAGTGAGGCTAGAATAAGGAGGAGCTGAATAGCCACTTGTCTAAGTCCCTCTCTCTCCCCGAGTCTGGCAGGACAATAGTGTATCTCAGTGATTTATTTCTATCCTCTGAAACTCTCTGGGCCTGATTCTCTATCCCCTGCACTTTGTGTCATCATTTACTCCAGTGCAAAGTGGGTGTAAAACACTACCAAATCAGAATAAATATGCACATTGCACTTACAGCTTTACAAGGAAAAGGGCATAGAGTCTCAAACACTCTTTTTTCCTAGCTCTACAAGTTCAATCATTTCCCAGTCAAGCAATTCCTCTTCTTCCCCGCCCTCCGGCCCGGCCCCATTTTTCTATAGTTTGCAGAGCCTTGCAAAATAGTCACGAAAATTCTCTCCGCAGCTCAAAAACCTGCTCATCTGCCCTGACCATGAGGATGACAACAGAGAAATAAAACCCCAAAGACAGCTTTACTTGATCATAAAAAACAACACATTAGACTTTTCCCCAGATGAGCAGCCAAGTGGAATTCTGCAAGGAAGGCAGAGTGGAGGTAGAGGAGGGGACTGGTGGCCCATGATTCCTGGGTTCTGTTTGTACTGATGAAAGTGTTTAGGGTTCTCACAGCTCAACATCTCCATGTACATAACCATGAAATTGTGATGCCTTTTGCTTTCCATCCACTGCACCTTCAGATTTTTAAGTTCTCTCTTCTTGCACAGAGCTCAACAGATATTTTGTTCTCCAAACAAATACTGTTCTCAGACTGTTACTGAGAAGACACACAGACACTGTGCTCTCTCTCTCTCAGAGAGACTTGATTTTTGTCCTTTCTAAGGATGCTCTTTTGAGGCATATCCATACCAGGAAAAAAAGGCGAATTTTTAACCATGTTACCTAACGTGGTAAAATCCGAATGCAGACAAGGCACTTGTAGTTTTAACGCCTGTTAGTAGGTCATGGTAAATGCTAAGTTCCCCATAGTCTTTACCTCAACCTGAAAATCACAAATGACCTTGTCTTCATGAGTTTACCCCATGTTAGTTACTACATGTTCGCTACTGTGAGGTGAGAGAACACCGTTTCCTAAAGAAGATTCACCCTGAATCTTGGACAGACAGGCCTGCCTGGTTGAAGGGTCATTGGCTAGCAGGTAGTAATGAGTCCAGCATGGCAGAGGAGCTGATTCCTTTTCACCCTGGGAACCTTGGATTAACTCCAGCTGGTTCTCTCTCTCCCACTCCTTCCCAGAATCAGGGCGGTCATAACAGGATGACACGAATAGGGAACAGTCAGATGCAAGGGGGTAATGAATGGGAAAGAGGGCTTAACAGGGCTTTCCCAGTTCTAGCGCTGATCTCAATTCCCACATCCTTCAAAGAGAATCAACAAGAAGCAGTGATTGGTTTAATGGCAACATTTGATCAGAGGTGGAGAGTCAACACAGGAGAGGAGGCAGGAAGAAACAGAAGGAGACAACCACACCACCAACGTTATGGACATTGTTTTCATAGCCGCCTGTGTAACACGCGAGATAAATGTGTGTGATCATGGGTTCACATGTGCATGTAATTGCATATGCAAAAGTATACATGAAACTGTGCGCACAATTTGCAAACCCAGATACCACAATAGTGTATGCACTCAGGTATTTGTATGTGCTAATCCCTGATTTGTACATGTAGTGACACACAAGTTAAGCACACAATGGCACACACATATTTACACTTGTAGTTGTGAAAATCTGCCCCATAAAGTTCCCGTTTTTCATTCCCAGTGCGTAAGTCTCCCTCCCTCAGAAACGATGGAGGCTTCCAACATACAGACACCAAAGTTGTTAAAACCCTGAACATGCAGGTGAAAAGCTGCACATGCAGTGTTATGCAGTCTTCACCCTGGAACTTTAAAAGCTTAGCATCAATGGCATCTGTCCTCTTCCTCGGATCCCAAAGGGTCAGAGTCCAGCTCCTTTAGTGATCTGGCAGCACAAGAGGACTCTGAGGCCAAGTTAGCTGTTGCTCCATCCCATCTACTGTCTCATCCCAGGAGCTGTGGCTGTGTAAGGCCATTGCACAACTGTAACTGACTGATGTGGAGACAAGGTACTTGGGCTATTTCCCTGGAATCTCAGCCACAGAAAGGGGACTGAGCAACAGACTGTTGCACACTAACAGGAATGAAAGTGGATTAACCCCCCAATGATGGATTCTTGTAGGCAGAGGATAGGACAAAGGCCATCTGTAGACACCCCACTGAAGAGGATGTGCAGGAGTGGTACCCCGAATGTCCATATGAGCCCAAATGTGAAGAGAAGTGCTACTTTCACAGGAGCACCGCCTATGGTGGGATAGTCCTGATTTTCACACATCTGTCCACATTGATTAAGTCCATTCAGAAATCTGGGATTTTATTTCAGGGCATTACATTGGCAATGCAACATCACAGAATGATGGGGATAAGTGAGCGCATAAGGCCCCAACACCATTATTCATGGGGGGCTCATCTTCTGGCTACGTTCCAGAGTGGGAGTCAGGCCTCCACAGCTCTACTCTCAGCTCTGCCACACCCTTGAGCAAGTCACTCCATCTGTGTGCCTCAGCTTGCCTGTCTGTACAGTGGGGATGCTCTGTTTCTCAGGGAAGTGCAAAGGGGTTAAATTCATTAATGCTTGGAAAGCACACTGAGGACCTTGGACAGAAGGTGCTACATATGGAGAAAATAGCATAACAAATCTGAAACCAGCGCAGTTGTCTGTCACTATGCTACTCCCTGTGGCCTGTCAGAACTTCATAGTGACTGCAGGGATAGAATTCAGACCCTCCTCCTCCAAAAGCACAGACCCCTACCACTTAAGCCAAAGGAGAATCTCCATTAGCTGCTAGCTGTACAGGGCTATGAAATACAGTTGAGCAGTTCTGATTCCAGCCAGTAGAGGGCAGTGGTATGTACGTACACACCCACTCTCAATGCTATCTGTCAATACTGGTTACATCTACATTATGAGTTATGGGTGTGATTTCTTTGCTTGTGTACACATTCTCGTGCAAGCTCTCATTGAGCTAAGTCCAGTGGTTCTCAAACTTTTGTACTGGTGACCCCTTTCACACAGCAAGCTCTGTGTGCGACCCCCCCTTATAAATTAAAACCACTTTTTTATATATTTAACCCCATTATAAATGCTGGAAGCAAAGCGGGGTTTGGGGTGGAGGCTGACAGCTCGCAACCCCCCATGTAATAACCTCATGAGCCCCGAGGGGTCCCAACCCCCAGTTTGAGAACCCCTGAGCTAGTGCAAGCATAAGTAGCAGTGTAGCTGCAATATCACAAGTAGTGGCAGCGGAGGCATGACTTAGTCATGCCAAGCATGTACCCACCAGTTTCAGGCGGGTTTGTACTTGGCACAGCTAACCCTTACCTCCACTCCTATTACCTGTGCTACATCAGCTACACTGTTTATACTTGTGCTAGCTTGATGAAAGCTCGTGCAAGTATGTGTACATGAGCAAGGGAATCCCAACCTTCTCTCAGATGTGGACTTCCCTATCATGGCCTTGGCCTTTGCAACCTCCAGGCTAGATCATCACAGTACACTTGCCACATAGGGCTGCTGGTGAACATCACTTAGAAACTTCAGGTGGTACAGGGTGCATCTGGTTCTCAGGTGGTGTATATCACAATTATGGTTGCAGTTCTATTCGGGTGCAACGCTAGGTTCTGATTTATTAAGCCATTTGGAGTTTGGGCACTGGATATTTTTGGGCCAAAAGGTCTGATTTTCCTCTCAGATCTCTGAAAACCAGGAACAATTTGCTTGTCTTCAATGGAGCTTAAGTGGTGTACACGGGGGAATCAGACCCCTTCTCTCTCCTTGCATTCTAATCCAGCACACGGGAGCAGCCGGGACAGAAGCTGACAGGCATTAGCTTTGTTCATGGGGGGGCAGGTTCCTCAACTCTGGAAATTGTCAGACCATGAGGGAGAAGCAAAAGTCTGAGTTTGCTGAACATCAAGGCACTCTGCAAGGCTATTGCTCAGGCTTTTTCTGGGGATTCAGTTGAGGAGCAAGGCTCTCAGCTCCAGGTGTGTTGGGGAGTTTATTGCTGAAAAGCTTATATTTACAATACAACTTCACACATGTCTTGCATCTTCCAACCAAGAATCTCACGGCCCTTGACGGGTTTCACAAGTTAGGGAAGCATCATCTCATTTTACAAACCAGCACACAGTGATGTTATGTGATTTACTCCAAAGGTCAGACGGTAGGGGTCCTGCTTCCCAATCTCTGCACTAACCCCTTGAACCTACTTTCTAAATTGGAAACTGTTTATTCATTTAGACAAGAAAAAAATGCAGACAACTCTATTTGGGGATGCAGAAGCATTAAAACTTTCATTGTATGAATCTCAGCCTGTTCTTTGCTGAAATCAGTGGGGCCAGTGAAAAGAGCTACAAACCAGGTCATGTTCTAACAGACCCTGTTCGCATGTGTGATAAGCAGCAGGATGCATGCAAGCCTACCATTTCATCCAGGCCATGTACCAGTTCTGCTCCTTCTCCCTCTCAAGTTTCTTTAAGCCAAGTCCCCCGAAACCTTTTGGCTAAATTTCTCAGCCTGGTGCTCATCTCTCTCCCAAATTAGTAACTATAATATCTTACTCTCCACCCTCCACACATCCACAATGTCCATTCAAAATTCAGCTACTGAGAACCTTTTCTTGCCCTTGCTTTGATCACGTCATTCCCCTCCCTCCCCTTTGTCACAACATCAGGCTCAAGCTTCTCTCCACACCCTCAGGGCCCTACCTAGTGGTGCCTACCCCTCCTTCCCCCATCTACCACTGTCTCTTACTGAACCCTTTCCCATGTTAACCCCCCCGCCCCGCCACCCATGAAACGCCTTGCTCAGCTGAGTTATAGGAGCAGTGCTCTCCATCCTCCTTCAAACCACCCCTCGAGACCATCTTCCATGATGCCTATACAGAACTCACCAGCTAGTAGCTGATGGGCTGAGAGGCAACTGGGTATGGCTGAGATGTACCAATATTGCAACTGTCTCCCTCCTTCCTACCCTTCACATCCCTCCGGTCTTCTTAGACTGTAAGTTCTTCAGGGCAGGAACCACAGTGTGTTGTGTTTGTCCAGTACTCAACACAAAGGGGCACTAACTAGCATCCTGGGTTGCAGCTTCAGTGGAGATACCAGGGGCTAAA